GTGGACCAGTTTAGACCAGCACTGACTTTATCCAGCTGCTGTTAATATGTGCAGTCTGGGCGGTTCTGATCTCATCTGTTGGTGTTTTCTCGTGTCGTCGAGGACCGGCTGAACAGAACATTTCAGCTACAGGTTGTCCTGTGAGATTCTTAAATGTCCTGCTGCTCAGAAATAATCACGCATCAGAAGCAGTGTTGTTTCTGATCCCAGCCTGTGAAAGCATCCTCCAGACACTTATTATAATTCATTCCAGTTTATTACTGAGTTTAAAACGTTGGTTTTCAAGAGTAGCATCATGTCAGCTTTTTGTTAGTTATTATCAGCACTGGAGCAGATTTCAGAACCAGTCACTGAAAGTAGAATAATAATTAATGTACAACATTTTTATGGCTGTTTTTTGACATGTCCTCTTATAGACCTCCGTGTAGCTTCTTTAGTTTATGCCTTGGGATTCAGTGTGAACACTTCCTGCTTTCTTTCCTCTGTGACAGTAAACTGACCAGCGAGACACTGGAGGGAACTCTGATCCACATGGATCACCGTTTTCTGATCGAGTCACGCTGCAGATGATCTGCAGACAGTGTTAGGGTTAGGGACAGTTCCAGCTCATTGTCATTTACAACGTGTCTCTACCAGCTGTTAACGGATGCTTCAGGAAACACTAGTTAGTGTGTGCGTCCGTGTAAACCAACCCGGTGTGTGTGTCCGACAGTCTGACTGGCAGCGACGCCGGCTCGGCAGTGAGACAGGTGTTTCCAGATGTCGGCGTGCTGGTCGTTGGCCTGCTGACATGGAGGCTGATCGTGAGGCTGAACGCTGCCACGCACACACAGGTGACACACACACACACACACACACACACACACACACACACAGTAATGAAGCGGGTGTAACGTCGTTAGGTCGTCTCCTCTTGTTTCTTAACGACGTTTCCTGTCTATTAGTGTGTAACTCTGTAAGCTATTTATTAACTGTAACCTGGTTATGTGACTGCAGGGCACACACACAGTCAGTGGACTGATTAGGTTTCAGCTCCAATCAGGTTATTACTGGTCCCGTCTGAATCCGTTTGTTAACATGAAACCAGAGCAGCAGCAGGGACCAGACCTCCTCCTCCTCCTCCTCATCACTTCACCGCCACTCCAACACTGCAGTCTGTCAGGAGGAGCACGGAGGTCCTCAGGTGGACCAGGTGCAGTACGCTCCAGCTAAACTCTGGTTGTCTGTCAGCCTCAACAGGACCAGGATCAGCTGCAGGACCAGGATCAGCTGCAGGACCACAATCAGCTGCAGGACCAGGATCTGATGTTTGAGGAGGCCTCTGTGCTCAGGGAGGACGAGGATGAGGAGGGAATCAGTAGAAACAGGATTCTGGTGGAACTGGAGCTGCTGGTTTGTAAAACCAGACAGATGGTGGGAAACATGACGACAACCGGAGGAAAGGTTCTGCTGACGGCTCTACTGGGACTCACAGGTAATACAGGTCACAGCAACATGTGGTGAAAACACCTTGAAGAACCATGGATTACCAGTACAGAACTAGTACTGGGTCCTTGACAACAAGTACTACAATCACAGATAACCAGTATTAGAATCACAGATAACTAATTCCAGACTATCAGGTAACCAGTAGTGAATCTCTCCCCCCCCTCCCCCTTTCTCCCTGCAGGTATCATGTTCCCCTCCCTTTCTTCCCTCCTCTATCTGCTCTGTTTCCAGGTGTTGTGTACCTGGTGGGCGTGGTCAGGTCAGGTCCCGCCCCTCCTCTTCAGGTGTGTGTCTGTGACGTCACTGCTGTACTCCTCCTCCCACTTCCTGCTGCTGTACTGCTACCAGCTACCCTCACTGCAGGAGGCGTGGCCTCCCAACCGCACCTCTGCCAGGTGACACACCTCACCAGGACACACACCTCACCAGGACACACACCTCACCAGGTGACACACACCTCACCAGG